CATAAAAGGTGTGGGTGACGATGTTCTGACTGCGACCCAATTATTTTGTACAGTACTTAATTAGCCCATGTGCACTTCGAATCACAGGATAAGGACCCTAACAACTTAAATTTAGATTTACAACTAACTGCATGTACTTTATTTCATCTCGAGACTCGAGATGCAGCATATTTGCAAAATATTTGGCATACCACAGAATCAATACGAATCTATAAAGCAATCATGACAATCATTTCTACTACGCCAATAACTCTGCCTTCTAGTAATTTTTGTAAGCAGTGGTGAAAGCAAAAGACTCGTGAGAAAACCCTATCCACAGAAAGGCTGGATCGTTCTAGTGTAAAGGCCTATACCGGCGTTGCAAAAACTTTTAATTAAAGGCGATGATTTTACAAGGGCCTACCATGTCCATGATCATCACTGTCATATTTTCTTCCAACTGGTAGATTAGAGCTAACGTTTTGTTCTTCTCATAAAATTTTTTAAATTTTATTTCTTAAAACAATGTTGTAATCTGCACCAGAAACTAATTTAACTCGCCAGGCCATTTTTGCCAATTTTGCAACACATTTTACACATTGAAATTAAATCACCCCTCTTTTTCCTTTCACTTTCACGAACTGCGTATCATTTGAATACAACGACAAATTGAGCTTTAGTAACAACATTTTACTGGAGAATTGTAATATTTTTTTATCCTGTTGTTTTTTTATTTGTTTGGTTTTTTTCTCCACGGGGCGCACAACACGCGAAATTTCCTGAAAACGCGATGGGTGAGTGAGAGAAACCGTGCAAGTGCTCGCACCTCACAGACGAACGAGACTGGTCTATTTTTACCCCTGCTGCCACATGACTTCCAGCTTGGGTTTCATTGGATGCAAGCACACTTCCTTTCGTGGATCGTCGGTGACCCTAACGGATTACCATGGGGGAAGGAAGAGGTAAGTAAAATGTGAACTAAATTATTATTCTAGTAAATATGCATTTCAACTCTGTTGGTCATTGAAAAGCCATGGCATATTTTGTAACATATTCTCTTCCATGTCCTCGAATTTTGTTGTTAAATAGCTGTGCGTTCCTGAACTGAAGGCGAAACAAGGTGCATCTCTCGGCTGTCGGTGACCCTGTGTGTACGAACAATCTGTTGCTTCGTCTGCTTGGTCTGAGCGTACAAGTCAAGGCTACTGCCAGGGTCGTGTCATTGACTGACTAATACAACGGACACATAATAAAAAACCACATCGCTGCGTCGTATACGTGTAAATGTGTTGGTTGTATGGGTGCATGGACGAGGGAAGGGTTTTCATTTTTCTTCCTTTTTTTCGTTTCTTTATCCCATAATTTCATAATGAAAAGCTCGACACAGGAAGACAATTTTAGTGGATTAGTGGAAAATCGACGAGAGTTGGAGAGTAAATAAAATAGTGATAAACAGGTCTCTAAATTAGCCTACAGTTTAAAAAAAATCTTTAGATATTCTAGATTAGATCTCAATAGTAATAGGCTAACTTTCTCTTTCCTCGCAGGCTGGGCCTAGAGTAGATCTAGATTTCTAGATCTAGATATAGAATCTAGATCTAGATAGATCATAGATTTTAGTTTCAACCCAGGCTTGGGGCTTGGAGCACCAAAGGTGTAAACCCAGTTATCACGTCTTTTCTTGTCTCCTTCTCTGTTTCTGCCTTGTTTAACTTCCTTAAAAAGCCTTAAACTTTAACTAACTTTAATTAGATTCTAGACTAGATCTAGATCTAGATATCTAGATCTAGATTCTAGATCTAGATCTAGATCTAGATCTAAATCTAGTAGACAAATAAAGCTTTCAATTTCACTTCCTTACTTCCCAGTTATTAGATTTTTTTGTGTGAAAATGCCCATGCATGCATTTAAAGTGTCTTTCTTAGTGGCTGTTTGCAAAAAAAAGAGAACGCTTAATTTTATATGATCACCTCCTTTTTCTCGTCTTTAGGCACTCATCAATTTTTGGGCTTGTGGAGTTATAAAAGTAGGCCTATCACCTTGTGTGTTCATTTCTCATGCTTTCGGTGAATAGAAGAAGTTAGTCTCTATTTACAATTGAAGGAGGAGTCACCTGTTTTCATACACGTAAAAATTACGAGAAAAACTAGGCTAGGCCTCTGAAGTTTTATTAAATTCCATAGCCTGGGAGTCCATGGAAACTGAAAATATAGGCTACATTTTTTGTGCCTTTAATTGATGTTTTTCAGAAAAAGCCACGCAGAAATGTGATCTTAGTATATAGATCTAGATCTAGAGGATCTATTAAAAATTAGACCTTTTAAGCCAAAATTTATTAAAATTAAAAAAAAAAGAATTGACAAACTGGTAGAAAAATGCTGGTTTCTTTAATTTCATTATTTTGATGAGTCCCTGATTTTAACAGTATCACAAATAGACTCTAGATCTATATATATATACTTCAACCTGTCCGTTTTTTTTTCTCAGTTTGAGTTTTCCACCTTCACCCCCTCTCCGGAGATGCTTTACATAACAAGACAGAAGTGGGTGGTTGGGTGGGTGCTGTGGTGTAGTTACTCCTTCTTTCCATCAAACATCTTTCTTTCATTTTTAGTGTCTCGGTTACTCTGTTAATTCTAATCTCAGACACTTGTATTTTTATTACCAAATTGTGTTGCAAGTGCAGTTAAACTAAAACAACACAAAAAACCCAGAAAAATACCCCTCTCACCCATTTCTAAACCCCTTTTCCCCTCCTCAGAATAGGACGGGAGAAGGAATTTCAATTAATTCTATGTTAGTGTGCCTAAGATATGTATAGTGTTGGGTTCTAATTTTGCCTGGTATTGGTTGGTAAAACTTGGTAGCCCATTGCTAAATGGCCGAACTACTAATAAAAAGATGTCCTGATCTAACTTTAAACTCTACCTTCTTTCTTGCTCATATATATGTATCATGTACCTAGGACTCTGTAGTGTGTCCAGACTTTGTAGCGGGTTCATTTTTGGGTTGTTCTCCGTAGTGTGTCGTTTTCCCTATCTGGCGTACCCTGTTTACTATGTGCAGCCCAAACTCTATGGGCGTTCAAGTTGCACACCAAACCAATAGTTTGCACCACTTTTTTCACAAGTGGCTTCCTAAAAGAACTTGTTGACATGCTCAAGGAAAACCATAAACTGACCATCGTGAACGAGAAACAATCTACGAGTCTTTGAGAAGATCGTACTACATGTCATGTACCCTTGTTGTTAGAGAAACTGTAAAGTTGCTTATCAAACAAGAAGGAGTCTGATGCCTTGTTTGCACACAGGTGACAGATCTGTCTTAGGCTCTCCCAACAAGATGTCCTATTCCGTCAACCTACCCCCAATAGTCGATGGCAGATTGATTTTCTTGAAGAAAATGTCAACTTTTGGCGTTTTTTATGTACATCTGCAATATTTCAGTTTAAGATAGCTACTCTAGCTTCTCTTTCCAAAGGGCCACTGTGGGAAAGTCTACAAGGGAGAGTGCTGATTTTTTTAGTGTCTATGATCTGTACATGGGCCACCTAGACTTCTCCAGATGAACAATGGCTACGAATTTAACAGAGTAACAACTCTGACTCAGCCGGTATTGTTGAATCAAAGAGTAAATTATAATGGCATATAAATGGCCGACCCTACTACTCACAAAGCCAACACAAGATATCGAATCAACTGTGTAGCGTTTTTTTACATTCTTCATTTTGCAATGTTATACAGTAGTCTCCGCCTAAGATCCCGGTGCTCGGGAGCAAGGAAATGCGGGATCTTAGCCTAGGCGAACCGGGATCTTTAACCGACGAATCCAGGGAAGAATCTATGGTGACCCATGTTAAGGCTCACAATCGGTACAATGGTCTCCCTCCTCTCTAAAATGAACTGACGTGCCCCCTTGGTGGGTTTTTGGCATATAGCGAGCAAAGAGTGGTTAATCTTGATGACCTATCACGGAGCATAGTGGCATGAGGCGTACCATTTTCACTTATTATCCTATCATGAGTCTCAAGATCTACGCTTACCAAGGAGATTAAAAGTAGTTCTAAACTCCTTGACGCTTACCCAGTTGCCCCTCCCCTTTACTTCTCGAAAATGTATAGCTTACCATCTCTGACCGAGTCTCACCCCCCCCCCCCCCAACCGCCTTTGTCGTTACACTTACGTTGTGAACACATCAATTAAAATTCAGTCTGTGTCGAAAATTCGGGAGTAGGGACAACTCTGCTGCAATGGTCAGGGAAGAGTTCACGGTTCGATGTGATCCCGCCTGGAGCGAACGTATAGGCCCTACCCACCCAGCGAGTGATGCAAGTTTAGGTGGCGAGCTCAGGTGTGAGTGCGATATGTGGGGAAAACAAACGCGTCGGTCAGTTCACACCCCGGTGTGATCCCGTCTGGGGCAAACATTGTGTCGCTTCATCGAGTTTTACAACGTGTATGTGATCACATTCACAATAGTGGCTGATCTTTGACGCAACGGACAGTTTTTTTTATCTCAACTTTTCACTCTTGGTTGATCGGCTGTGCCCGCCTGGGTTTTTGTTTGGCAAATTATTATCTGGAATGCGGGATCTTAGCCGAATGTAGACCATCAGAGCGGGATCTTATGGGTGAATTTTGTATAGTAAAAATTCTGTTTTCCTAAAACAACGGGATCTTACTTAAGCGAACTGGGATCGTAAGCTGTGGGATCTTAGGCGGAGACTACTGTTATAATGCATTTTATGGGTTTGTTCAAAATTTGATAGGTCTATCTTGAATGTTTTCCTTCAATTCCCGTATCGTTATTTTGATCTGAAAAATTCTTCATTGCCATTGGGAGTGCCAACAACACTGTCACTGTAATATTCATGAAAAAGAAAATTGTTTCTGTTTCTTTTTTGTGCTGTTGATTGATAAAAAGTTGGTGAACCAGATATGGGGGGGGGGCTCTCGTGGTCTAGAGGTTAAAATTAAGGTGTTCGTCTCTCATTCAATAGATCATGGGTTCGAATCCGGACAGCGACAACAATTTTCCTCTCTAATATTATAATCTTCTTTCACATACTTTCATGATCTCTAACAGTATTCTTTCTGTCGTCTGCTTTCATCTCCACTTTCTGCCCCCACCCCCTCACCTCCTTTGGCCTCTCCTCTGGGCTCCTGACTCTTTCTGCAGCCTTTCTTTTCTACTGCTACTCCTTGGCTCACTTGTACTGCTGTCTTTCAGCCATTCGCCTGATGTTATGGTAGAAAAGATCTAATCCTAACCTTCTCGGACAAGGGCGAAATATATTGGAGGTCCTGTGTGCAAGTTGGTGGTCCAAAATTTATAAGAGTAGGCTTCGGCTGCCACCTGTGCAAAATTCAAAATTTCCTACCCTCTGAAAATGTTAAATGTGTCCTGTGCGCTCATATCTTTAAAGCAGTTGCGAGCACTGTTAAACACTTACAAAAAACCCCCCCAACAGATTGTTGTGTTGTAGTGTAAAAGTAAAGGCGTTTTGCAGACATGTCATGACAAAGAACATCTTTTCAGCTGTCACACATTTTTAAAATTCATAGTTGGCTAACAAGCGCCTGTATTGTATTGGTAGGCATTTCGCTGTCGTATGCACAAAACCAAGATTGGATTCCCATGTGACTTTTATTGAGTATTATATACTCGGTCTTCCTGCTCCTACACCGTATCCCTCTCAGTCCAGGTAGGCTCTGACGTTTAGGATCGAAGCCTGCTTCCTGAAATGTCTAAATTTAATTGTAGCGGATGTAAAACGCCTACATAAGAAACAAAAAACCCAGTTGGCAAGATAACGCTCATTATTTCGTCAAGGAGAAAGGGAGAAAGAGTTGGGACGGGGGTAGATCTACTCATTGTCATTATGAACGATGAATCAGTTAAAAACCAAATTGCACCCCAAGTGAACGCGCACATATAAAAGGGTGCAAAAGAGGAAAAGGGACAACCTACAGAGAGCGACCTGGAAGTGAAAACACATCTTGGAGTCTTACATAAATATATGCAGAGCCTCTTTTGTTTTGGTATGAATGATCTCTATAAAATGGGTATTTGCTCAGTTTTATTCTCAGTGTCAAGTCTTGTATACTCTCCCCTCTTTTTCCCCTTTCACAAATTGTGAGAATGCTTTAAAAAAAAATTTTCTGGGTAGAAATAAAATTCACTGTATGATCCCTTGCAGCTTTGTGGGCTTTAGAATGTACAACAGTAAGTTGAGTTAATTTTTTCTTGGTTACGTCTTAAATATTACGATCTATGACAATATGTGCACTATTCATGATACAGGGACACATATATTATATATCTAATGCTAGAAACTTGCTACCGACAGAGAGAACGCTGTTTAAATTCAATTGTTAATTGTGGCATTCATGTATTTTTTGTAAATTAAGTTGTTTAGTCCATGATCAGGATGCCTTGAGATTTGGAGGGTTTGGCTATGTCTGAGTTTACATACATCGTGATATTGGACATGGACACTATTTTTTAAGTTTACTGAAATTAATAATTGTACTCTCAATTTTCAGAGCAAAATGAGGCGTTTGTCACGCTGGCCACTAATGATACCTATGCCTTGGGATGCTTGGTCCTTGGCAGCTCTCTGCGGAGAGTTGGAACCACAAGGCAGCTTGCTGTTATGGTGACATCAGGTGTCTCTCAGTCCATGAGGTGAATGTCTTAATACACACATACTTTTTCCCTACACAAAGTATACTCACTGATGATTTGAAGACTTCATTTTTTTACGGGGATGGAAAGGGGACATTTTTTATTCTTTCTGTAAGAGATGTCTGCAACTATTATTATAATTTAATTGTTATTGTATTCTGAGTATAATATTACTTGGAAAGGTAAAATTGAGCTTTCTTCTCTGTCAGAAAATGAATGGTGTGTTGATTCTACAAAATGATACCTTTAATAATAATATGCTTGAAGAGGCTTTAATAGTATAATGAATAATGTCAATCTCTTATTCTCTGAAGGACATAGTTTTATTCACTTTGCAGTCATATTCTTTGGATTTTCCCCAAAATGCCTTTGCCTTTGATGGCAAGGGTTTTTAATATAATATGTGAGCCTTGTGATGGCAAAGTGTTAAGAAACATTTTATCCATCAATATGTTAGTTTATTGAGTGTGTTAGCTTTAATTGTAGTTCAGAATATATATGTGACCATATTTTCTTCAGTCTGTTGAAGATCCCCATGATTTTCTCCATTAATGTTAAATAATGCCTTTCAGTAAAAAAAAAATCATGTAAAAATACATGAATATGTGGAGAAATATGGTCCAACAAGATGCATTACACTGGACAAAAAAAAATGTTTTCCTGTGCAAAGAGTTTTTTATAGTAAAGGATTTGTTTGTTTTTCATTGTAACAGGATTATTCTTTACTCACGTTTTCATGGTTTTCCTGTTTTACAGACAACAGCTTGGTGGTCTCTTCAATCAAGTGGTGGAAGTGAATGTCCTTGACAGTAGTGACACATGTAACCTTGAACTCTTAGGGCGACCTGACCTTAGTGTTACATTCACAAAATTTCACTGCTGGAGACTTACTCAATACCAAAAATGTGTCTTCATGGATGCGGACACTTTAGTAAGTAATTTTCTTTACTTTAAAAAAGAAATGATAAAAGTAAAACATAATTTTTCTGAGTGATGGGCATTTATATATTAAATCTCACCTCTGCGCATTCTGAGGAATTTGTAAGGGTTTTTTGTAGTTATATACAGTCCATGCCGGGTTTAAGCACGGCCGTCGGGAGAAAGCTTAAGCGTGCTTAAAGGCGAAGCGTGCTTGAGTGCGAAGTAGACATGATCCAGAGATTTTCATGAAGAAAATTTCCCGTGCTATTTCCCTTTGTTTGTAAGTAGGCCTATAGCGGTCCCGCAAAAGTGTGCACTGTTATTTAGACACCCGCCATTTTAGTTTTTGTTTGCTTTTTTGTTTTTGTTTTGTGGTCGAATGGGAAATGAAAACTTTATTTAGACGGCCTGTCACGATACAGCACACTAGGCCTACACACTGCCTGTGCGTACCACTGCCCGCTGTGCCACTCATACCACCGCCTTCATCCCACCTCGCGCGTGATACACAATCAGGATTAATGGATGCCGAGGGTCAAAGGTGAAATCGCAGCCAGCCTCCCTTTCTCGTCTCCCCGACTCTCTTTGTATTTTTTTTGGTCGTGTGTAGCTTTGCCCTAAGCCTAGGCTAGATCCTATGTCCGCGCGCGCGGCTGTGTGCATCTGCCTTCCTCTCCGCCCGTGTGAGTGTGTGTGTCCATCACTTGCGTTCTTTGTGTTTCTCTTGACACCCTCCACTGTGACTCCACTGCTGCGGTGTAGACTGTGTTCGAACTTCGATGGGTCATCATGAAAATATTGACTATCTTGTAAATGAAGCGTGCCTGAAGCCGAAGTTGCCGTGCTTAAAGGCGTGTAATTTATTTAGCAAAAATTTGGTAAGAGCCGTTTAGGGTGTTTGAGTCCGAAACATGCTTTAAGCCGGCGTGCTTAAAGTCGGCACAGACTGTATTGGGACTTTCTTTGAATGAAAGCTTTTAAAAATTGATCTTTCTAACTTCAACAAAGCTATTAATCTGTATACCTTCAAAGTACTTGGAAACAGTTTTATAGTTTGTTAGTTTGTTTTTACTGAGATAGTATTAAAAAAAAAACAAGTGAGACCTGGGTATCCATACTTGACTGACTGTTAATTCCCCAAATTCTTAATTGTTTGCATGTTTGAATATTTTTCTGAACTCTCTTATCCTCCCACTCTCTCTCTTAGGTGGTACAGAATGTCGACGAACTGTTTGACAGGGAAGAGCTGTCAGCTGCGCCGGATGCAGGCTGGCCTGACTGCTTCAACTCTGGTGTTTTCGTGTATGTGCCATCAGAGCAAACGTACAGAAATTTGCTGTCGTTCGCTGTAACTGGTGGCTCATTTGATGGTGAGCTGCAGACTTTGTTGTGTTTTTTTTAAAGAATGATGCTGAGAGGCCAGGATCAATGCCCTGTGTACATAATGATAATATTTCATGCTGTGCGCAGAGATGTTTAACTTTTTGAGTCATGTGTGTAAGTGTTGTTTTTTGGTTCCTTTTTTATGAAATTTGTTGTGTTTGGAACAAACTATGTTTTTCATAACTTTTGTACTACTTTTTACAGCTGCATAGAGAAAGTTTTTAAAAAAAATTCTGGCCTCAGTTCATGTCTTTCCTTATACTGACAAAATCTGTAGCATATTGGGGTAAAACTGCAATTTGGGATCCCCCCCCACCCAAACAACAAACAAAAACCCCCCCAAAAACAACCAAAAACAATTTTGTCCTGGTTGCTATGTTGACTTACACACACTCATTTGTTACTCCAACTCCAAGCTTTGAAAATAATCTTGGCTGTCATGTATGATTGAATGTTTTGAACTTATACTTTATTTTTATGTTTGTGCTTGTTGTGTGCAGGTGGTGATCAAGGCCTGCTTAACTTGTACTTCAACAAGTGGGCCACTGAGGATATAGGCAAACATCTTCCCTTTACTTTTAACGTTGTGTCTCAAGCCTTTTACAGTTACCTGCCGGCATTTAAACAGTAAGTTCTTGAAAATTCTGCCCGTCTTTAAGTTTAGTTTCTGTCATTGATTGTTTGTTGGTCGCGTCATGATGGGTTCCAAACCTTTTTAGTCTGTCAGTCTGCTTTTTCTGTCATATAGTGTATTGACATGATTTTTGTTTGCCGTCTTTGGCTTGAGAAATATTAAGGTGGGTGGTTGGCGGGTGCTCTGGTGTTGTCCGCTCCTTCTTTCCATCAAATGTCCTTCGTCCTGGTCTCTCCTCCGTCTCTTTTGTGTTTGTTACTTGCTTGTAACACTTCTAATCTTTGGCACTTATATGACCTTATTGTGTTGCAAGTGCCGTAAAACTCTTACTAAAACTAAAAAATATTAAGTGTAAATTTGAGTTAGTTTATAAACAATGGGGAAAGATTTACCTTGTATAACATCTTTCAATTTATAAAAGTGTATAAATTATATTTTGCTTTTGCTCTATTTTCTTGCTCCTTGTTTCTAGAGCAAGTCTTTTGTTTTGAATTTGACAATGATACCAATGGTAGGGACAATTGTCTTTCTGCAAGCCTGCCCTGAGGGTTTACTGAGATTTAGTTATTTTGTGAATGATGTTGTTCTGCTGTACCCTGGATGCTATAGAGCATAACTGAAGTAGAAAAAGACAAACTTCAAGTTTTTGGGACAACTTATATGTTAAGGCATACTTTATCAAAAAGTCATCTCATTTTTACCCTCAGATTTTATGACAACATCAAAGTCGTCCATTTTATCGGTGCTGTTAAGCCTTGGCATCATGCTTACAACACTGCCAGCCGCACCGTGACGCAATTGCCAGGCACTGGCCACAGTCAGCAGTTTCTGCAAATGTGGTGGAATATCTTTATGGATTCTGTCCAGCCCAACCTCGACCCACAGCTTGTGAGTACACTATTTGTTGCTGCTGTCACATCTGATTTACAAACTATATTGAAGTACTTTTATAATTTGATAATATAACTATAACTACCATACAAATACATTTATAAGAGTAAGTCACCTGTCTTCTCAGAAAACAGTTTGAAGTATAATGATCTCCGATACCTCTGTACTCTGACTTTGTAAATCATCATGTGGCAGTAATGGTGGTACAAAGAGATGCCCCCTTGTTCTTGCTTTTTGCAGTTCTTGTTCAAACTAAAACTCAAGGGTGTTTTCTTTGTCGTTCCATGTACAAAGTATTTTACTTGGCTGTTTTTTAACTTAAGCTGAATGCCTTTAAAATGAAATATGGATATCAATTTATTAAAAAGGCATGAATTATTAGAGGGTGTTCACTGACAGCAAGCATTGTGCATGGAGTGCTGTGTTTGGGTAATGAAGTGATTAGGTAAGAATGCATGGTGTGAAGAAAGGATGTTGTGAATTCCTAATTAACAGTGAATTAAAGCATCTATTTTTCTTGCTTATTATATAAACTGATTGCCTTGGTCATAAATGCCTTAGAGATGACATGTTCACTTAGACCTGAATGGCCCTGAGTCGATCACTTTCAAACAGATCGTCCCTCATAAAAGCCGAGTGTGTACGGATTTGACCTCAGACTCTTGTTGGGAGACGAAAGGAGAGGAAGGATATGGCGCAGGGTTATACTTAACCCTGGAGAAGATATTAGTGAATAGTTTATCAATGTACCTTTTCAACCTTTACTTTTGATTTGTTTGAATTTGAAATGACAAGTTCCTTGTTTGTTTCATTTGTTCTTTTTGTTGTTCTGTTGCATGCATCGCAGTATGAGGTAAGCATTCTTTTTTATTACCACATAATTTTATAATATAATAGAATTGTCTTACCCTTCTATCTGTCTATGAAAAATAAGCTATTGTGTTGCATTTCCGTCAAATATGTTCCAAGAACAATTTGCTTTTCTGCTACTATAGCCTGAACATTCTAGAACTATTTTATGAGATCAGAATCAGATTTGATTTTGGGGCTTCTTACTGTTTATGTGAATTTGATTGCTCTGAGCTGTAGATTTTTATCAACTGGAAGGTTTAAGTTTTCAAACATTAGTAAAAGCCTGTTTGTTTGATTCATACTGCCTCATGTTACTAATTTGAATTTTACTATTTAGAAGGAATTATTGTTGTTGAAAAGGAAAGGAATAATATCAGCACACTCCCTTTTGAAAAAAGTCAGGATTATTAAGGACATGCTTTATTGCAGTTTGATTTTGTGCACTCTCTTGCAAAGAACATATTTTCATAAGGGATTTGATTGCTTTTTAAATATTCTTTGGGCACTTACATGACGTGCGTTGACTTTCAGGGGATGCTTTTTTTCCTTGTAACAATTTTTCATAAGTTCATGCTCAAATTACTGATTAAGTTAAATGTATAAAAGGCAGTCTGTGGAGCAGTACAAGGACAATATAGCTGATAGTGTTGACAATGCTACAAGTCTCATTTTTGAAAAGCTGTAGTCCTGTGGTTCCAGCTACCTGTGCTCTGATTTTCACGACAAAGTAAATAGGTGGTTTTTTTCGTCTTCTTGCTAATAAGTTAAATAAGTGTATGAGGCTTTAAAGCTTTGTTATTAATGGTACTGCTTCTCAGGAGGCTGAAAACGTTTCGGAAAGTTCTTGGGTCTGTTGGGGTAGAAATGAAATGTGAATCATATATAGGCACATTCATTAGACAAACAATTGACATGTATTTTTAATGCTACTACATTTTTTTGTGAATTAATTGATAACCCTTGTTTTGGTTGGAATTGAAAATATAATATTGTATGTTACTTGTACAGAAGTCAGATGATTTGTTGTGAGAGATATAAAGCGTGATCTTGACATGTAGCAACATAACCATCAAATATGATGAATGAGCAACTGCTGCTAGTATTGAAATATATAGAGCCCAAAAGTATGAGGCTATGTTAGGGCTTACTAAAACTGTACTATCTCCAGTACAATATAGTGCTTTGCTCCTACTGATTTTATAATCTACCCCTTTCAATGCCCATTCTTTATTCTTGCTGTCAAATTATGTATGTTCAAGGAATATTTTCTTTCTTTGAATGCCAGTCATCAGTCGTCAGCCAGAACTTGTCATGCGTAAGAATTATTTGTAGCTATGTGTAGTAGTAATAGTTGTAGTAGTAACCATTTGTGCACCTTTTCCTAAATATTATGTGGTATAAATGCTCTCTGCCTTTCTGACCATGTATTTAAAAAAAATATTTTTTTTTGCTTTGAGATGAATGATTGTTTCTCTAATACTCTCCTGCCCAAAAAGTGGGGCGGCAGATGCTTTCAATCCTGCATGTTTTGTTACTTCTGGGTCCTAAGTCAAAAGGGGAATTTTTAGAATGGAACTGCTTATTCAAACCTGTTTTGCCCTTTTACGACCTTGAGTTTGTTGAGTCAAGGTTCTTCTTATTCTGGTCACATAAGTTTATTGGTCGTGGCTGTATCACCATGAAGATTAAGACAGCTCGCATGTTAACTTTTACTTTTTGATTTTGCCAGTGCTTTCATTCTCTTTCTGTTGAATATCAGTACACATACAATATATCATTATTAATAGTACTAAGCATAATTGTTTCTATTATTTTGTTGAGAGGAAATATCCAGTTTCCCAGATATATATGTGATTAACTGAGTTTAAAGTACAATACCTGTACTGTAATTGTGTGCAAAAGCCGCCTCACTTTTAATGACTTTATAATATACGTCTGGCTTCCTTCTCTTCTGTTGGGTTAAGGACTGGTTCACCCAGTGATTCACTGCAAATTTCCTTAAATCTGCGCACAGCTTGACAGCTTCTGGTTATAGCTTTAAAAATTGTGCGTAGCCATGAGAAATTAAAGCATGTATGGATGTTGGTGTGGTATGCAACTTGTGCCTTGTCTGAGCATAACAACCATAATACAATTATTGTTTTTAAGTCTTGTTATTTTTTTTCTTTTCTCTAACATCTTAATTTCCTGCTTGGCCTGCAGTTCGTGGGCCTAGAGGGTTTAAGCTCCATCTGCAGTTGGCTTCTTTGTAGATTGGACTGAACCTTTTTTTGTCTGTGGCTCTGCTAAACACTGGCTTGGGCGTACCATCAAGCTTGTTACACGATTTAATTATAATTCTTGGCCTGTAAACACCTTGTGCCTGTGGGTCTGCTGAGCATTGGCTTTGGGAAAGCAGCAAGCCTTTTACGTTATTATATTGTTCTTGGCCTGGGAATAACTTTTGACTGTGGCCGGGTCTGCTGAGCACTGGCTTCGGCATGCAAGTGCACATGTTACGCTATTGAATTATTTTTGGCCTGGGAACCATTTTTGCTTTTCTTTCACGTTCTTAGAATACTTTTTCATTTATTTCTTTTCATTACATGTTAATGTTTGTAGAAAAAGAGGGAAGGGGGGGGGGGATTATGCAGCCAATCAGTGATCGATCCTATTTATTTCATTGGGTATCACTTTACTAGCACGATAGCCTGGTGGCTTTATCTTTTTTAGCCAGATTGTAGATCAGCCATAGCGTTATAAACAAACAGAGCTTTTTTTTGTCTTGGATTAAACTCATAAAAATCAGTGCTCTCTCTGAGACTTTTTAGTCTCAAACCTATCATGGCTGCTGTGGCTGTGATGATGTTCATGTAACTGCCAAACTAATAGTTTTGCCTTTTTTAAAATTGATTTTTGTTAAGTTGAATTAATATTATCAAGCTTAAAAAGAAACAAGCTCAGAAATATTGGTTTTGTAGTAATAGTTTTTTCTTTTTTGGGGGTCTTTTCTGCTCCATCGCTTTGGATAGAGGGTTTTACTAACGCCCTCCCCCTCCCCCACTCACTTCTTAAAAATTAAAAAACTAAAGTCAGAGAGGGTGACTTGAGGTTGTTGTTTTTTTAAGGCCCCACTATAATGTGTTTTTTAAAATACACCCTATATTGCGCAGTTTGGTCTCTTTTTTTTGTTTTAAATTATTTGGTTCAGCTTTTGTTTGGGTTTTCCTTTTCAATTTGAGTCATGGTTTAGGTCTGAGCTGTTTCTTTGTTTTTTTAAAATGTTTTGTCTGAAATATGAGTTCCTCAGTCCAGACTTCCTTTTATAGGTCAATCTGTTTTGTTGGATTTCTGTATATATTTTTTGGGGGGTTGGGGGATGCGTTATATGACGAGAACACAGTAAGGAATTATTTTGCCGTGCTTACAGAAGAGTAAGAAAGGGGCAAATGCAATTTTTTGGATGCACAAGGGTCTTGGATGTCTTGCCTTATGTGGAAAGATTGGAAGAAAAAGCGATAGAGGCGGGCTAAGAGCTGCGTACTTAAAAAGTTTAATATTGTAAAATTGAAAACTGCAACTTTTCTAACGATGACCGAATTCCATTCCAGGAGGTGTGGAGTAATAATAATATTATGCTTTAACAGTGTGCTAAATTCAACCGAGATGTAACCATTGTGAACGTCGTTCAAGACGGAACCAAGCGGCCAGAGTGTGGGTATCGCTGAAGTTG